TTTGTAATGAGTTCTGCTGTTACAATGACATTTTGAATGAAGCCTATTTTTTTCTGAAGCTTATTTTTGCTTATCAGGTAACAGATATTGTGCAATACAACTGCATGTTTTACAGGAGAATCTGTCTCCATTGTTGAGTTTCTCTTTAAGTTTACTTGTGTATTGAAAAGTGTATTGCACATAAGGCGCTAGAGACAAAATATGACTTGACTTTACATGAATGCATCCAGTGAATTCAACAGCAGTATGTCGTGCTTTGACAAGCTGGATTTGACAAAAAAATGACTCTATCATCCAAATTAATGAGACCTTTTTGAAGGAGATTGGTTTACTTGTGCCCTTTTTAAGTATTCAGCTAGGTGGCTTAACTGACACTTAAGTGCTTGTGTATGTTTAAAGTGACCTGTTATGTTAACCTTGATGAATTGAAATATTGAAAATACTTTCATGTTCAATATAATAGAAAAAAAGATATGAAGGGTCAGATGCAAAAACCTCCAAATGCCATTTGATATTTATTTTTCTAAAATTAGCATTTTTCTCAGACTCCTGGTAATTTTCCATTTCTAGCAATGAATAAGTTCTTTTCATTGCCTTTAAAGTGAAATAACTGAACATAAAAAGGGAGGCTTCAACAAATGCTCATTTTAGGAGATCCTTTCAGATGACATTTAGATGTTTTTGCATCTGAACTCTTCATATATATGTCTCTGTTAATATAAAATATATACTTTCTGTTGAAGTAAATCAACAGAAACATTTCTGAAAACTTTGAAAAAACTTTGAGATTTTTTAAATTGCATCTTTGATATTTTATTCAATATACAGTATGCAAAATACTTAACAAAATAAGTTTGAAAAAGTATGGATTTTACTCAAGTGGTTTTTAAATTGGTGACACAATTGGTGAGTTATTTTCTCTAATTATTAAGTATTTACTCTTTTACTTACTCAATTGTAGTTTTCTAGCACACTTTATACCTCTGCATTTATAGTTTATGCGGAACCAGTCAAAATCTCTTACCTCATAAAGTTTTTAACCAAAAGTGTACAGTATGTAATATTTGTATAGTCAAGTCAGTAGTTAAAAAAAAAAAAATTCACCATTATTACTCCAGTTTTTAGTGCAATCCGAAATCATTATAAATGCTGAAGTGCTTTTTTTTTTTAATACAGTTAATGTTTGCACTTATTCCAGTAGTGGTTTTTGTTATGAGCTTTTGTCACTCTTGGTAATAACAGATTATCATTGATAATTATCAGAACTGTTTTTAGAAGTAAATCAACCTATTATATTATATTATATTACATTATATTATATTATATTATATTATATTATATTATATTATATTATATTATATTATATTATATTATATATTCTTGTATATAATACATCCCATAAAATCGTGCAGCACAGAAATTACATTAAAAATATTTTAAAATATTTAAAAAATCATTTACTAAGTATGAAAACACAATTATTAAGCACATTATATAGGTGCTTATAAGTCAAGAATAGAGCATTTGTAGCTGCAGTTATAAACTGCTTACTAACGTTTATTAATGTAGAGATAATGCTTAACAGATAATGAATTCACTATTTGCTAATGCTTAATAAATGATTTATAGTGTATAGTTATTATAAAGTGTTACCAATACATTGACATTGAAAACAGCTGTTTTGTATTAAACTAACATTTCAAAATAATTGAAGAGTTTAGATGCAAAAACCTCTAAAAGCCATTTGATATTTCAAAAGATTCTAAAACTAGCATTTTTTCTCCAACTCTTGTGTGTTGGCTCACTAATTTTAAATTTACAGTATAGTGATGGAGATGTTGTCATTGCAATTGTTTTTTATTTATTTTCAAGTGAAATAACTGAAAATAAATATGGGAGGCTGAGAAAAAATATCTTTTTAGGAGAAAATTTACATTTTCAACAGCATTTAGAGGTTTTTGCTTCTGAACTCTACAATTGTACAAATATCAAATACTGTATATGGATCACATAAATGCAAACTATTAAGTAATATGTTCAATCAACTGATATGTGTTCGTGTCGGCTTTTTTACATCCTGTTTGATTTAGTTAAGGAGTAGTAACATGTCTTGTTTGACCCTCATCCATGACCTTGCTATGATGGAATCATCTGTTTCCATCCATTTTCCACCAATAATTTTTTTCGTTGTGGTTTTCAAGTACAACAAAAACATGGAATATGAGTAATTTTTCATTACTACACTGTACACGTGTAAGTATGTGTTAAAATGTGAGTGGGAAAAACTAAATATGGACAGACACTGTTTACTGTTCACTTTTTGATGGAGAAAGCTGTATTATTGGGTTGAATTAGGGTTATATTTTTCACACTTTGTGACGTAGCAATACATAATAAATAAATATATAAATAAATAAATAAATAAATACATCAATCAATCAATCAATCAATAAATCAATCAATCAATTAATAAATCAATCAATCAATAAATGAATAGATAATTAAATAAACAAAATATTATTACTGAGACCACAGTAATAAATGTCCTTTTGACACATAAATGGCAAAATAATTTTGTTTTTTGTACATTTATTTAAATATCACATGTAAAAACAATATACATACACACACACACACACACATATATATATATATATATATATATATATATATATATATATATATATATATATATATATATATGTATATATATATATATATATAATTGAGTTTGAGATCTATGCTGTAAAACATCATCATTATTCATCATATTTTATACTAAATACAGTTGAAACTGAAAAAGTACTTCTACTTTTTATGCACAAACATTTGTCCATAAAGCACTCAAAAATGTTTTTTGCTGCTTGTCCAAACTACTTATTTAACATAATCTGAATCAACACAATCCTTGAGGTTTTGGGGAGACAACTAAATTGTTTTGGGTTCAATCCACTTAAATTTGTTAAAACATTTAAGTTAACTTAATTGATTTGTGTTGGGAAAACATGAAGGACTTGTGTAAAACCCAGCATTTTTTTTACAGTGAGTGATAGTTCACTCAAAAAATGACAATTTCTGCCCCTATTTACTCCCATTAAATAACTTTTATGAGATTCTTCTTTTGAAAGCAAAACAGGTAGACTATATACACTGACATCTATAGCACAAAACGAAACAATTTTTTTTTCTGTATATCTTCATTTGTATTAGGCACACAGCAAAAAAATGAGTGTACATTTAACTCAATTTGAGTTTAATTTAACACTCCTTGGGTGTACATATGACTCCCTCCATTTTGGAGTTAAAATAACACTTTCTAAAGTGTAAAATTTGTACATTACTCAAAGTGTTTATTTTAACACCATAAGAGTTTATTCTAACATCAAACCGGAGTGGTTGTTACCCTCCAAAGTGTTAATATTTAAAATTTGTACATTACTCAGTGTTCATTTTAACACCGTAAGAGTTTATTCTTACATCAAACTAGTGTTTGTTACCCTTTAAAGTGTTAATATACTAAATTTGTACATTACTTAGTGTTCATTTTAACACCGTAAGAGTTTATTCTAACATCAAACTAGAGTGTTTGCTACCCTTCAAAGTGTTAATATATAAAATGTGTACATTACTCAGTGTTCATTTTAACACTGTAAGAGTTTATTTTTACATCAAACTGGAGTGCGTGGTACCCTTCAAAGTGTCAATATATTACCTTTATTTCCTAATTATCAATTGGTGGGTGTGACAGATAACAGTGATCAAATATGTTGAAAATTGTTTATTAAATGTTCATTAAACTTTAGAAATATTTTCAATACATTCAACTCTGCATTTAAAAATGCAACGACATTTCAATTTTTTTTACAAACTTTAGAAAATCTGTTTCCACAAGTGCAAGAAAATACAATTAACACCTGCACAATAAAAAAAAGACCATTGTTTAAAAACTCCTTGTTTTGCAAGTCATAGAAATATCATATAACTCATTTTGTAACTCATAGAAATATCATAACGCGTTTTTTGTAACTCATAGAAATATCATATAACTTGTTTTGTAACTCGTAGAAAACTCATAAACCTGAGGTTACCTGAAACAACATATACTTATTTCATAAAGTGCAAACATGAAAGTGCCCATAGAAGCAACTAAGCTCATTTCTGCCACAAAAAAAGGAACAAGCTAAAAACTCACAATTCTGACTTCAATATAAAATCTGTAAATACATTCAGCTTATGTGCTAAACAATCAGAAGTTAGTGCAAGCTAATTAAATATTTTCGTGCACAAAACAATGCACTGGAACAATGTACAAATATGGTTCTTCAAATCCATATGATGCCTGTAAGTCAAATGGTCTGAAAAAAGGAAGATCCTCAACTCTTGACAAACCAAAAGTGTTATTTTCTCTTACATGGTATGCATGAAGATGCTCAACAAATCCAAGTGTTTCAAAGTCTTTAGTTACCAAAAGGTTTTGGTCCTCTATGAGAACAATTTCACATATTTTACTGAAAATTGGTAAGTCCTTCTCCATTTTACTGAACACCAGTAGATCATGACGATATTCCGTTCCTGAATATTTCAGCCATGAAGTTACTGTGATCTCACGGTCCAAAAAATGTGGATACATTTCAAGAATAATGTCACGATATGGCAAATCATCAAGGTCTAGAGTTTTTAAAGGTCCATATTCAACATTTTTAACGGGTAAACTTTCCCAATGATACGCAATTGCATATTGGTGTTTAATAGCAAAAGACTTAGTGAGGTTTTTAAAATTTTTTATGCTGTTTTTAAAAAACTTGTGTTTCGCTTCACAACGCATCGACCATACATGTACTAATGGACCAATTTTGCGTATACAATGTGGATAATGTAGCATAAAATGATGCTTGGGAATCAAAGACTTTTGTGGATATAGCTCTTTAAAAAGACTATGATGTTCTAAAATTAGATGTTTCAGATAGTAGGTCATGCCTTCTGTTATCACAGGAGAAAACACTATGTTGATGATCTGTAACAACAATAGTAATAAACGCCAGTAATTATTTTCCTCTTCAATGAGGTCTCCAAATATCAGAGGAATGTTCCGTATTAAACAGAATGTCTGAATGGCATTTAGACCTATAGAATTAGCTGTCTGCTCTAGATTTAATCTAGTAGGTCGGTTTTTTCTTTCAAGAAAGCCATAATTGAAAGAATAGATTCTGTTACATACGTCTTGTCTTGGTATAATGCCAGAAAGATATTCAAGAAGTAACTTTATTTCATACTGACCAACACCCTCGAGGATGTCGTGCATTATATCAGGGGAGTAGTTGTCACAAATATGAAAGTATTTTAAGTCATTAAATAGACATGTACGCTTAACCCCAAAAGATGAAGTAATGCTAGGGTCAGCTACCAAATCTGCATAGTGCTGTTCTTGTAACGCTTTGTTTCTTAATGTTATATTAGTGTCGTCTTCACTGAAAACAGACTGAGATGTTTTTTTGTCTACTAAACAGAACCGACAAAAGTAAAGGGCACTAAAAGATTCCATAAAACCAAGAATTGTGTGCATTCCCAAGTTGTCGCCAGTAACCTGTGCAATAGTGCCAAACAAGGGATCTTTGGAGAAAGGAACTGGAATGCCAGAACTTTCAAGGACTTTTAAATCTTCAACAAGGGGCCGCAAAATTGCATCAAATCCATAGTTCTTAATATCCTGTGCATAGAATAATGACAATAAATGTATGTTCATTAAACTTGAATTCATTTTGGGTGGAAAGTTCCTGAGAATAAAGTAAATTACTCCAATTTTATGAATGCCTTGCTTCGAGCCCAGCGGATTAGCAGATTCAAAATCATCATAGTATAACTGTATTTGAAGTGCATTTTTATGTTTACTGTAAAGTGGGTGGTTTTTAAAATAATCCCCATCACAAAAATCTTTATAGACAGATGTACTCGCACTTGGACTTGTCATATGTTTACATATATCCGAATTCCTAAATATAAACTGCAATGTGTTCAAAAGGGGAATGTAAATGAACTTGTCGGTTACAGGAACTTGATCATAAGTCCTCGTCACTCGATTCAATCTACTGTCAAATCGTACACCTAGCTTTATCTCAGTAGGATCGACAACAGCCCATTTGTCTTTGAAATATTTTTTCCATTTGTGTTCTGTGTTTAGATTTGTGAATGGATTATTCATACTACTAAAACAGTCATCTACCTGGGATGCTGTTGCAAAATCCTTTGCTGGAAGTAAATTCATTACTTTACTTTTAATATCAGAATGTATTTCATGGACCAGTTCCTCCATGTCCGATATTACAGAAGTTACAACACTGGTTGCTACTCCACTATTTTGCAATCTAGCAACAATAGATGCACACATTTCTTGAGTGTCAATCACCCTCCTTTTATCACCGAGTGGTGTCTCAGGTTGTTGTTCATTATGATTATTTAAATGTGACGGTTCAGTATCTTCAGTCTGATTTTCAGTCTCTGCTTGGTCTAGAAATTCATGTCTATGAACACTACTCAAGTGTTTTCGAAATCCGGCATAAGTCATGAAGCTATGCTTGCAATTGTTCTGTGCACATTTCAAGTTCAATTTTTTCCCAGGATAATAAGCATGAATGAGTTTTAGATGACGAATGAGGTCATTAATTGTTAAATGTACTGCTTTACAAGCAAAACAGCGGAACATTTTCAGTCAGTCAAGAGAGCTAATTCAGAAGTTTGGCTCGTAGGTCCTTTACCCTTGGGGTTTCACGAACTGTGCCACAGCCAATCTTGTAGATTGTTGTCTGAACAAATGTAAACATTGCATTTAAGGAGTGGGGGTATGACACACTAAAAACAAAATACGCTTTAAACAGTTCGTCAAAAGCAGAAAGGGATGACTTTGCCTGACATGGTAGAAGTTTTCCATCCAGAACAATGTAGAACTCATGAATGGCATTCTTTGCAGAGCCAACTGCAAGGAGATGTGGTTGCAGGCCTTCAGTCTTCTCAACATATTCAGTTAGACTGCAACAAGCCTGAAACAGGTGAAAAACAGATTTTCTTACAAACAAGTAACCTACAATACAGCTCACTAATGTTTCCATGCAAACCTTGTGAAACTGCACAACATGATCCATTGCCTCCTTAATGCTGATCTTTGTTGAATTGTTTCTACCACCTGCTGAAGGTGGCAAAAGGAAAGCCAGTAGTAAAAGACAGGACATGTCACTGTCCCATCCTGCAAGCAAGAACAAAGAGAGCATGTAGATCAACAACAAATACAACAATCAAAAACTTACAAATAACAAACCATTTAATACCTTGCCATTCACATTCCAGGTTCTGCCCAGTGCCAGCTGCAAGGAGGCTGTTTAGGTACAAGTTTGAATTAAGCGTTTTCGCCTCTGCGATGATCTTCGGCTTTAAGGTGTCCCATTGTTCTAGTAGTCTGGAAGCGGTTTCAGTTCCAAATTTGATGTCAAAGTCTTGAAGAACCTGTAAAACAATTACAAACATAACAAAAATTCACACCATGCTTTTTGCATATTACCTAATTTTATCTCAACAAAATACTATTATCTGTCTCTTTCTCTTACCAATCCCTTTGTGTCGAGAAATCTTGGAAAAACTGAAAGAGCTGTGCTGGACTTCTCTGCATCATGAATAAGCTGCTGTCTGTGCTTGAATGTTAATTTCATCTTCTCAAAAATCTGGTCCTTGTCAGCACAATGACTCATAAATGATATGGCTTCTTTGCATTGGTCGCCATCGAGCTGCTTTTCCAAATAGTTCCAGTTGGCTCTGTTAGCTGTTGGTCCTCTGTTGCCTTCATCCAATGCTGCACTTGACCTGGCATTTCTTGTGCTCTGGCTTTTGCTTCGGCGTGAAACTGTTTTCAGACGCCATGATATGTATCCTTGATTGCTCTTGGGGTCATAGAAATGTTCCTTAAATAAAAACAAAATGACTGCTGATAAGATCAAATGCAAACATTTTAAATTTCTGATCATGTCACTACACTAGACTAAAAAAATACTGATGAAGAATAAAACAAAATTTATTTAATTCAATTAGGGGAACTAGAAATGTGACATGGTTCCACAAAATCTAAAATGTTTCTATAAGGTACAGTAGAATAATAATAAGTTTTAAATTCTTACATATCCAGTTCTTGAGTATGGATCCTTCAGTGATGGGCAAAGAGTTACAATTCCCAAGGCACAGCGTGTTTTTGTTTCTTTGGAAGGGACACGACTATAAGAACAAGAAAAATAAGTTAAAACACTAAAACAGTTTGATTACAAAAATTGTATCAATGATTTTTAGATTGAAACTTACCCTTCTTTTTCAGTTATGTATGCAACAACGATGTTGACTAACTGTCGCCGGGTTGAATCTGTGAGTTTTCCATGTTCATTATATTCGGCCAAAACGGCAAGTCCACCTGCCTTTTCTTTCAAAATTTCACTGACAAACTACAATAAAAACAAAGTAATAAAATGTCCGCATAATAATGTGAAAAAAACTGCCAAACACTTGAACTAGTACCTGCTTAGCCTCAAAAGCTTCATCAAAACGAGGTCTCTTCATGCTTGGCTCAGCACGGTCATCAGTTTCAGGGTGGTTTGGGGTGAGAACTGGTGTGTCTGAGTGGGAGCTACAAGAATCGAGGACTGTGCATTCTGAAAGTAATAATAATAATAATATTAAAAAGCATGTTATATGTACTGCATTCTAGTGATGTGCCAAGCAATTTTAAAATTAGATTTGCCCTAAGCCAAACTTCTTAATGTTTAACATCACAAAACCAAAAGGTATGTCAGAGATTTTCAGCATACAACTTTGCATCACATAAAACATGGAATTGGTCTTTCAAACTTGCAAATATAGTAGGCTATCAGTTGTTTTTGACTCAAGAGAGAGCAAAAACAGTATTTAAGCTGTTGCTTGCTCCCTCAGTCACAAGTGCAGCCGCCAGTTCACATACAAAACTGATGAAATAAGGCTTCACAAAGTAGGAAAAACCCAGAAGATTAATTTGAAAAAGATACATTAATTTGATTTTAGTAATAGGATTTACTTTTAAATATTAAATTTAGTAGTACATTTCAGTCATGAATGGTTGAATAACTAAGCATTTACACATTTTTAGATAAAACAATTTCACAATTTAAGCACAAGTTATATGACATATCGTTTTAATGGAACTGTAGCTTGTCGCCACATATGAGGCCAGTTTAAATAATTATAACAGGGCTCGAAATTGCGACCATTTTGGTCGCATATGCGGCCTAAATTTTATCTATGCAACCTTAAAATATATTTGGGAGGATTTCTGTGAGTGCTTAAAATTGTTGTGTGCGACCAGTTTTTACTGCAAAATGTTCACCACATGCGCGGATTCGGGAGACATTCACGCAGAATGCATCTCTAAGCTCTTTGTCTGCACTTGAAACGCAGCACACAGAAATGGTTTAAAACAATTGTCATGTCGACTTGCTGCAGTAAACAAAGCCAAGTCCGTAATGCTTGCCCCACCTTCACGCTCTTCTTTTTGGCCCACCACTGCTCTAGCACTGAATGCGAATGATTGGTTAATATCAGCTGTCAATCACTCAGTCAGCGCCTTGCCTTCTGACGTCGGATGAGAGAGCTACTACCATGAAAAACTGTAAAGCGCTGAAGATGAGAATGAAGATAACACTGGCAGATTTTGTTTTAGACACCATGGCATCTTAAGTTATAAATGACACATCTTACTAGTGACTATGTGCTGAATGTTAATCCACCATCTACACTTTTCCAAGAGTAGAAGACTTCCATTGGCTTCAAGTCCGCTATGAAAAGTCTGTGGGATGGAGTTTTCAGGTAACTGTTTGCCAAATCTAGCACGACAGCTTCTGTTTAATCCTTTATATAAATCTCCAGATGCTGTCCGCCATGCAAGGGGCAGCTATATGTCAAATTTAACACCACGTACACCATCGCAAACGGGCTTGCACCGAGTAAACTAACATCGCTACTCCTAAAAAGACCAGTATTGCAATTAACATGACGTATGCATATAATAAGGTACAGTAAGTGTCAAAAGCATCAGTGCAATATCAGACAGCACTTGTGAGAACAGCACAGTTATACCATTAACAGATTCATTCAAGCAGTGCGTGCAGGGCCAGTGATCGCTCCGTGTATGCTTTTGGTCACTCAGTTATGTTATAAAAATGTATTTTCTTGTGATAACTGGATTTCGTTGAGACATATTTTCCTTACGCTTGCATATCTTATAATTTTTTTTTTTTTGCTTGTTAGTTTGATTAGTGTTGATTTCAAATGCAATAAATATGTTTGTATAAAACTTGTAACGGTGCTCATAATTGGTGGGTGCGACTAAATTTTGGCTGATGCGCCTAAATTAGGAGCACCGGTGCTACCAAGCAAAAAGGTTAATTTCGAGACCTGTTATAAAGTTAGAAAAAAAGGCAAACAGATGTGGTTTATTAAACATTAGATGCATGGGACCAGAAAGCCCTGCATACAGAAACTTGCCTGAATCTTGGTCAATGACTCTCCAAAGTACATCACGCGATTTCTCCTCCAGCACGTCAGTGAAAACATCTTCATCTACCTCCACACCGGTGTCATCTTGCAAAACCAGATCCTTTTGCTCGATGGAAAATTTCTTCTTGACTTGACGTATTAAAAGAAATAACATTAATTGAAAAAAGACATTCCACCTGCAGCAACAGTCAAAACAAAAATGGAGTCAATAATTTAAGAACTTACCTTCTTTTATTAGACTGCTGTAATCAACTTCATCTACCTTAATCAACTTCTTTTTGCCTCCATAAATGACTTTGAAGAGCATTGTAGCTAAAGAAAAAAAAACAAGTTTTCGTTTGATTAGGCTTACAGTGTGATTCAAAAGAACACATATTGATAAACCGGTGTTGTGCCGAAATCTGTGACTTGTTGAAAACTGTGACCCGGGTGTGACGTTTAGTAAAATCTTCACTCGGCAAAGTGCATGACGTTCATGCATGTGACTGTGAAAGCGCAGACACAAAAATCAAGCAAATAGCGTCGAGCGGTGATGTAAAGAATGTTTCAAATCCTGGGATTCAGAAAACAGGTTCATGGAAGAATTTTAATGTAGTCGTGATATTTTGTTGTTGTCTGCAGGTAGACTGCTAAAACTAAACATTTAGTTGTGAGATTGAGTTGAAAAAAACAGTTCATTACAAAAGCTAATTACTGAGTGTCACATTTTGTATTAGTAAAATGAATCACCTTTTTAATGACATTCTAATCAATTGACATCCAAATGTATAAAGATATCTGGTCATCAATGTTTTAGAAAACAAATAAATTTGACACAAAATGTCAATTTATTAAACATTATAGTAAGTTTACACAGGGAAAACACTTCTATCTTAATCCTACCTGTATCACATGTAATTTGAACTCAGTAATTGGCATTTGTAATGAACTATAGGATTTTTTCGACTCATGTTTAGTTATAGCAGTCTACCAGCAGACAACAACAAAATATCACGACATTAAAGTTCTTCCATAAACCCGTTTTCTGAATCCCAGAATTTAAAATATCCTTTACAGCACAGATCGATGCTATTTGCTTGGTTTAGACGTCTGCGCGTTCACAGTCACGTGCATGAGACAAGCACGTTCCCGAGTGAAAATGTTACTGAAGAGCGCGACCTGGTCAAAATTTTCGACGAGTCACAGATTTCATCACAACGCCGGACATCACTAACTTAACGTTATATGGGTTATTCATTTGAACGGATCGTTAGAGAAAAGGAAAAAAGCTGTAATTCGCAGTTTAAAACGAAGTGCGACCAAAGTGTAACATTAAAGGACGCGCATTTTCAAAATGCAGCTGCCTCAGGGGCAGTCAACGGCGGGAAACCCCGCAGATATAGTCACAAACTAATTTTTAAAACACATAACGTTAAATATTTCGTCGCGAGAGGATTAAAACTGTACTAATCTGAAATCATAGCCATTTAACTTATCTTTTCGATATGTTTAGGGTCCACGTGCGAAATAAGCCAATGGCCTTACAACATGCTCAAATGAATTAACGTTAGCTTCGACGCCGTGCGACACTTCTCACAAACATTTACAAATATTTAAACTATTTGCTAAATGTAATTATAACGTTAGAGTATTTATTATCGTTGTATCAAACATTTCTTTAGAAAAAAACGGCTAAAACTTACCACTGAACTCGAAGCCTCCAAGCCAACCTCCGTGGGATCTCCAACTGAAAAGACAGCCGCGGAGCTGAGCATCGTGGGAAATAGTGATGACCGATTCGCGAACGAATCATTCAATTTACCTGGATCGTCCTAGTGAATCAGTTCACCAAGTCCAACTGAATCGTTTGAAACTGTTCACAGTCTCCATTAATCACTAATCACAAATTACTTCAAAATCCTTGCTTTTTAACCGTGCCTGGCACTTTCTCTGATTAAAAAATAAATAAGATAAATTATTTAATTACTAGAACAGCGTATGAACGTGCTTCACTTCATCGGCTTAAAAAAATCCTAAAGAAACAGGTTCTCGTTCAGTGTACTGAACGGTTCTAAAACAGTTGCAACGGTTCTCGAACCTTGTTCTCGAGTTAAGAACCGGTTGCAGCTGTTTTGAATCACAAGTACACTGAACCGAGAGCTACGTGAACGAAATGCGGTTTCTTTCGGACCCGTCCGATTTAAGAACCTAAGAGCTAAAACTGTGCGCATGCGTGAAGTGCTGTGACTCCTGAAGCGGCCGAACACATTTAAGCTCATGACCGTTGTCTGAACCAAACTAATTATTTGGACTATTTTGTGCTAATGCTATTATCATCTTATGAAACATTGATTTATTAAAATAAGATTATTTAATGACAATTTAATATTAATAGAAAATGCATGTGCATATAGTTCACTGCTTCTGATGAGAATTAATTTATTATATCATATAATTGATTATATCATCAAGACTCGTAAAACATACTGGTTTGATCACTGTTTGTCCTAAAGAACCGGTTCAAGTAAAAAAAATGGACTTCCCATCACTAATGAGAAATACACTGCATATTGGGTTAAAAGTTTAACACTGGAAAAAAAACTCTTAAATATACGCGTTTTCACACTCGTGGATCTAAATGTACTCCAGTTTTAACACTGAACAACACCAAAAAAAATCACACTGTATATTTAACACTGGAATTTTTGCTGTGCAGAAATAAGCTGATTATAAAGGATTCTAATTAATATAAAACAATTTTAGAGGTAAACTGTATCTTTTTACTGTACCATACATGAACTAAGGATGTTTGTTGTCACTGTTAAGCCACATTTGAGCTTGTAATACATTTCATCGCTTAAAAAAGGGTTCAAATGTTAATCATAGGAGAGGAAATGATACTAAATGATACTTAAAAATTCTTAAAAATCATAAGTGTGTGTGTGTGTGTGTGTGTGTGTGTGTGTGTGTGTGTGTGTGTGTGTGTGTGTGTGTGTGTGTGTGTGTGTGTGTGTGTGTGGTTGCGTGCAAAGATCAGTGACCTTTTTTGTGTATTTTGTAGCTTTTTCCTTTTATATTTCACCTTGCATTAAGATGATTCAGTCGATAAAAATGTATCTCGTGTTGTCTATTTTATTAGAATATTTTAAACACATACACTTGTTTCCCTGAACTGTTACTCAATCAAATTTTTGGCCAGAACGTTGCTGTAAAAGTGGTATATCCTGCCTCACTCTCTGCGCCTTTGACCAAACTAATTACTGACCTATGGTTTATCGTAAATCTCACCAGCAGAGGGCAGACGTTTGTCAGAAAGTTCTTCAGAGAATCAGCTCAGTTTGTAATGTGGAGAATGATGAATTCAGCACTCTCTCGGCATCTTGTCAGGGCTCGGCTTGTTTGCAATGCTCAGACTTAGCCCTGTAGGCCAAGAAGAATTATGTAACTAAAAAAAAAAAAAAAAAACACTTGCGTAGCCATAATTTTACACTGTAGATTTCAGAGCTAATTAGCAGTGATCAGTAGCTTTTTAATCCCACATAAACAAATATTACAGTAGTGTACCATAATATAGTACCTATATTATACTGTATAAATAAATTATAGTAGGCCTATTTACAGTACTACATCACACTCTTGCACTTGATACAGATAGGCCTGAATTGTATTACTGTATAGTTTTACTAGCAAACTGTTGTGTATTTTAATGTAACAAATATAGCAGTATAGTCTTTTTGTTTATAGTAATATATATATATATATATATATATATATATATATATATATATATATATAGTTTCAACACACCATAACATACTATAAAATAGTATTTTTTCATGTGGGGTGAAAACTCTAACTACTTTACCTATACAAGTAGACAGGCCTCATTAATGAGCCATCCAGGTCAAAAGAAACAATATCTATGCATTTCAGTAAACATATACAGTACTGTCCCTCACCATCTATTGCAGTCCAACATGATTGCATGTCCTTTCCCTGCATCCTCTGGAACTCGCGTCACAGCAATTAGCCTGATACATGTCCCTGTGTTCAGCCAATGACCCCAGTGCTGCACTCATGACTGATGGCAAGCGATGGTGCTGGATGCAGCAACAGAGGTCATGTCAAGCAGGGGGGATTTCCATAGTAGGCTTTACCAGATCTTTTTTTTTTTTTTTAAGTTTCTCGGAATATATACAAAAGAAAACAAAACAAAGAGTCTCATTAAGACCGGTCCTGTAGCACGCAGATGGTGAAATGTACATTTTTCTATTCTTGGCTCTTGATGAGCCAGAATGCATGTGAGTCTGAGGGTAATTATGTTTTCTAATGTAGACAGTCGGAACTTCATTGCACACTGTTTTTTCATACTTGCTAGATTCTGAGTCATCATATGTAAGGGTTGAGAAGAACGTGGATTGCAGCCAATGATGAGGCACAAGTAAATGATCACTCAACAGAAAAAAAGAGACATGCAAGTAAAAAAGGAGAGATAAACTGAGAATTAAATGTGTGTGTTGATGTGAGTCATCAAATAAAGCTTTATTAAAATGCTTGTGTAGAAAAGAAGATGAACAAGTGAATTTAGTCTCACAGTCATGGTAATATATGGAACAAATCCAGTGCTCGATTCTGCTTACTGTAACACACATGATGCTCTCTAATACATAAAAAGGTGCTTTGAACAGAACCAAATGGGACAGTTCATACCAAAAATGAAAATGTAGCAACAGTGAAATCATGGTCCATTGTGATTCATAAAATGCTAATAAAGAATGCAAAAAAAAAAAAAAAAAAAATCTGTAAATCCACCACAACCTAAACATGTTCATGGAGAACAGCCTATTGTAAACAGTCATATGTAGGCAGGCTACTTAAACACTCTACTTATTCATTCATTCATTTTCTTTTTGGCTTAGTCCCTTTATTAATCAGGAATCGCCTAAGCTGAGTGAACCACCAACTTATCCACGTTGTGTTTTACGAAGTGAATGCCCTTCCAGCCACAACCTATCACTGGGATACACCCATACACTCTTTCATTCACACCCACACTTCGGCCAAAGCTTGATCAATTCACCTATACTGCATGTCTTTGGACTTTGGAGGAAACCGGAGCACCTGGAGGAAACCCACGTCAAATGGGGACACCATGCAAACTCCACACAGAAATCCCTGTCGCAAGGGCTCAAACCAGCGACCTTCTTGCTGTGAGGTGACAATGCTATCCACTGCACTACCTTCACTCCCACTATACGTGAAAATAAATTGTGTGCAATTTCAATGAGGAAAACTGACTTTACATAGATTAGTTTGATATGTTTATATAAACATGACCGTGAAGCTCAGACTGTTGTGACCACATACTAGGCCTACCTCATGAACTCAGTAAATCTTGAGGAGTCACTCTGTTTCTCATCTGTTTCTGTTTTTATCTTTCAGCTAAAAATCTTATTAAATGTTTTACTGAAGACAAAAAATAATAATTTATATCTTAGATAACCTGCGGGAGACAAAATTAACAGAAAACGTTATTTTTTGTGAGCTATCTCTTTAAGAGGAAGCACACAAAGCCACAGTTTCCCCGAATAATGCTGCAACTAAAAGTTAGTGAGAATTTGATATGGCAGATAGCCTACCCTTGTACATACTGTTCGTCTGCCGCTTATTAAACTTAATTTCTTCGTCTGAGCATCGACTTTTGCATGACAGTTAAACTTAAGCGTCTAATTTAAGAAACAAATTAGGTCATGTTGCTGATTTGCATGCGGATTTCCCGAAGATCAAAAGATGATTAAGCATTTAGCGTACTTTTTTACTGCTCACAGATGGATCGTTATGATACAGCGTAAGATCAGCCTTTAACTGTAGGGGAGGGCGAGAATGCCCACACAGACACAGAAAATACACTGTGTGGATTTTATTTTAGGTTGAGTCACATGGGCTGTCCGACGTCAGTTATACTATTGCCTCTGAATAAAATGGTAACTGTGATAATAGTTAAAAATGCCAAAATATTTTTTTTTCACAGATCTTTTTTTAACATATAGGCTAAAGTGATTATTATTATTATTATTATTATTATTATTATTATTATTATTATTATTATTATTATTATTATTAGGCTTCTACTAGCTAACTAATGATGATGATTGTAAAAATAATAATGAAATTATTATTATTATTATTATTAAGTATTATTATTATTATTATTATTTTAATTATTATTAATAAGTATTATTATCATTCTTCTTATTATTATTATAAGTATTATTATTATTAATATTATAAATGCTTTTGCTATTTTTAATACAGTGATAAAAAATATGTTGCGATTGAGAAAAGAACTAAGCTGCTGTTGCCATGGTTACATCATCAACTGAACGCGATTTCTGTTGGTAAAGGTATGTTCTGATATTAAAAGGACATCAAATTCTTGACTACAGCTAATTTGAATAATTTGAAACAGTTTTTTTTCAACGCAGTTGTTCCCAAGGTCTGTCACTAGAGAATGTTCAACTTAACACAACGGTTTCAAGAACATGTTTTTATGCAAATAAACATTTAACTAGCCTATGTAAACACAATGGATCCTCAATCGTTATCTTTTTTTCCGGCTGAACTCGCATCACTGTTTATTAAATTACTAACAGAAGTGTGAGAATGCCGCGGACCGAAGTCAAAAAGGACAGCGTGCTAATTAGGCGTATTTACATGAATATTAGGCTACGGAAACGCGTGTGCCACAGCATGAGCGCGCAGAATGGCACAGTTGATTTCCTGTGCGAAGTAACGCCGAGCGTGTGAGTGGAGCGACATCAAAAGCGCGCGCTGGAGAAACAAGAGCTGTGCACGCAAGACTCAACTGCAGTCACATAAAGTCACTTTGACGGGCTCTTCCCGTGGGTCAGCGCCAGCAGTGACTTTATACACCTCTTATGTACTGAAGTCCGCCAATTCCAGGAGCGATAAAAGTGGCATTCAGACGTCACCACCGGAGGTAAATTAAATATTTTGAGTCCTTTTGACAGTTGGCGTTGCTAGTTTCTTGGCTCTCCCGTCTTCCGGAGATACAACAACACGCATGCCACGCGCATTTGGGTCCGCGTTGGTGATGCCATGCCCCGCAACCACAGCGGAGACGAGGCCGGCTCCGGCCTCTGGATGAACACCTCTCCAGGGCACCACGCCGAAAGTTACGGATTGCATAATGTGGAATGTGATAATAGAATGAAGAACAATTGTTCGCGGCCGGGGGACGGCCTGTTGTCCGCATCTCATGCCGGCACAGGTGCATCGGGCACGGAGAGAGACCGCGGGAAGCAGGGCGCTCGGCTGAGTCTGCTCGGGAAGCCGCTGGTGTACGGCACGCAAAGCGGCAGGAGAAACGCGCGCTACCGGAGGATTCAGAACTACCTGTACAACGTGCTGGAGAGACCAAGATCATGGGCTTTTATCTACCACGCGTTCGTGTAAGTTCAGCGTTTATCCATTAACAGTGCGCTTATGTCATATTGAAAACGGCGCTCGGCTTTTCTAAGTTTTTAGTAAGAGAATTTATACCTGTTGCTTTGAACATTTTCCCCGTAGTATTGCCACGTATGAATGGAAATGTGTCGTAGATGTGGGTTTTTTTAGCACTTGTAAAAGCCTATTTAGGTTTTATGCAGAATCTAGACCTTGAATGAAGTTGTGGAAATTCGTTTTTTTTTTAAGTAGAATAATATATTTGCTTTTACCACTTTTGTTTTCTTTCTTTTCCCTTCTGAGTAATGATAACAGTGGAGTGTGTTCAGCTGACAGACTAAACACAAAACATCCCAGCATCATTTACAGGGATGTATTGTTCTTCTGGGGCTGGGTCTTGAATCTTCAGTTAAAACAGGAATTGTAGTCTACTGAAAAAAATAGACATGCTAAGTGTTCATTCAGAACAGTGTGATTATATCTCTCTGCTTTCAGGATATGGGGAAGCCCTAAAATTTCCAGGAATTTGTCATTGTGTTAACTGGTGATCATATAAAACACAAATAGAAACGTTTTTAAAAACTATAAATGGTTGTTTGAAATATTCTTTCTAAATCCTTAGCCTTTTTTTGTATAGAACATAAAGGGAGAAATTTTGCAGAATATCCTGGCTTCTCTTTTCCTTTGAATTACATCGTGTTTCAGATTGGAGCTTCACGCACTATGAGATTAATCTGTTATATTCCAAGTCTGTACTCACAATTTGAACCAACTGGGTATTCAAGCTTACCTTGACAGCTTTTACTGAAGAGCAAGGTAATCAGTGCATAATACAAAGCAGGTATTTTACATCCTTCCTAAGCACAGATCTAAGGTATTATTTTAGAAGAACTGGCGTATCAAAAAGACAAAATGAAAAGATCACGGTGAATAAAGAATGTTTCAAATGTATTTCTGCTTAAATGGTTCCTTTGAATTGTAAAAGTGAAGTAGGAAAGGTGAAATTCAAAGTTTACTGAGAGTACACATATTATAATAGGCTAATCAGTGAATTTTCATTTATCGTAGCAGTAGTAGGTATATTAAGTCAAGATGAGTCAAGGTTTGGATTTAGTCAGTGTTAGTCAAGATTTTGACTGTTAATTTATTTTGTTGGTTGCATGTTCAGTTCTGTGATGCTCAGATTGGCAAGAAGTGACCCAAGCTGTTATGGTTAAATTGTGTAATCCACCATTACTTCTTCTAAAGAAATCCAATTCCTAATCTATGTGAAAAGGCTGGTCCGTATTTTTGATGTGATTTGATGACATGAGTTTTTGTGCAATCTTTTGTTTTGTCCTTGTGCAGTCTGCTGTGCTGAAAGACAAGGACAGGCTTCAACACCTGCACATATTATCTAACACTTTAAAGCGGAGCTTCTATTCTTTCTTTATTTTTTGCATTTGCTTATAAATTCTCCCATGCCTGCCCTGAAGTCAATTAGATTTTAGGATTTAATGAGACCCAACATTGCTTTGTTTGTCCTCGGAAGAGCTTTCTTTAAGGCTGGGAGTTGAGACAGGTTACTGTCTCCTCTGGTTTGTTGTTGTGTGTGCCACAAGGATTAGGGCAAGTCCCAATACATTTCATTCCTCACCGAGTGTTCTGTGCAAGCCCAAACACTGCGTTCCTTAGATAATGAGGAGTAGTTGGGATGTTGTGTGATTGAGAGGTAAGCCTTTTGCCAAACGGAAAAGTCTGGTATTAATTTCATATGTTTGTGAGAAATAGTTCATACAGTATTACTATGAGGATACACTAGGAGCATACACTAGGGGTATTGTTGATTTCTTCTTCTTCTTCTTCTTCTTCTTCTTCTTCTTCTTCTTCTTCTTCTTCTTCTTCTTCTTTTTCTTGTTGTTGTTATTATAATTATTATTATTACAGACATTTAAGTATCTCATGACTTTTAGCTCTCCTACTGTACATATCCTGTCAAAAGTCTCTTCTGCTCAGCAAAACTGCATTTAATGAATAATAAACACAATAAAAACAGTAATATTGTGAAATATTATTCCAGTTTAAAACTACTAAATTTATTTCAAAAATGTAATTGAATTTAGTGATTTAAAACTAAGTTTTCGGTTCATGAAAAATGTTTAGCCATCAATTGTACTTTTGAATAGGCTAGGGACAATAACCGTTTTCAAGGTACACCGCGGTTTTAAGAGTCAAGGTTTTAAAACCTCCAAAAATGTCTGTTATTCTGTTCCTATAGTATATATATATATATATATATATATATATATATATATATATATATATATATATATATATATATATATATATATATATATATATATTTTTTTTTTTTTTTTTTTTTTTGTTAGGACAACAGTATCTCCAGTAAAAAAAAGATATCCAAAGATGCCACTTAAAGTTGTAAGCAAGTCTTTGTTTTTTAAACTAATGAAGACAGCAGAAGTCAATGGTTATTTTTAAATATTTAGCCTGACATGTTTACTGTTCCAAAATATTTAAAATGTTTCTCAAATAAAATCAAATATTTTGGCTGCGTCCGAAACCGCCTACTACTCAGTAGGTACCGCATTTGAATTTGAATATACTACCCCACCAATAGAAAAAATGTGTTCTACTGTATACAGTAAGAATGTGAGTAGCATAACGTACCACATCCGCCATTTTATAATGATCACGTGAGACACCTGCTTCACTCCCATTCATGAATTCTCTTGTGGTCGTCCGTGTAGTTTTTGCATGCTGTTTTTCGATTTCTATGAATTTGGACATACTACTTGGCTTGTATACTATATAGTATGGAAGCATGCAATTTTGCATGCAGCCATTTTGTTTAAAGTGGATACAAGTTCTTGTTTTACCCAGACATTTAAAAAGAATATATTTTAGAGCAGTAATCAGAATACTGTGAGATCGTGATTTTTTTTATCCAAAGTTTTCATGCCGTTAGAATCTTATACCAGCCCATGCCTACTTTTGAATGGTAACAAATCATGCATTCGATTAAAAATAAAGCACAGCCAGAAATGTTTACAACAACTATAATTTTCAAAAGTGCTTTCGAAACAGCAAATCGTCTAAATTTTTGAACGATTATATAAAATTGTAGACTTGATCAACGATATATAGAAATATCAGCTTCGAATCGCAAATTATATATAAGTAATAATATTTCACACAATTACAGTTCCTGTGGTATACAAATAAAGCATACACAAATCTTAATGTTTCAAAAAATTTGAGTGGTAAAGTACATGACTGATTCGCAAAAAAAAAAAAAAAAAAAAAGATTTTTAAAATCCTTTTTTTTTGTTTTGTTTTGTGTATCCAAGAAGATTGTTGGTTATCTATTAGTTTATTTTTGTGTATATTGTTTTCTAATGATTATAAATTATCAACATTTCCTAAACCATATTGCAGCCCGATTGCAATGAATTTGCTCAACAATCTAAACATTTTGAATTCTGGTTAATATGATCAAATAATGATGCACTGCACAACCATGCCTACAACATGGATGGAGCAACATGGATACAAGCTTGTATATAAAAGTACTTTTTTTTTCCCATTTAGACTTTCCTGTTAGAGAATTCTCTTTTTTTCTAACATAAAAAGAATATTTAAAAAACTCAAACAGAACAGTGAAAAACCTACTGAGGCTGATAGCTAGGTGTTTAGGACCACAGACTCTTTCACATCACACTGAACAAAGATAATTAAACATGTTTAAGGCTACAGAAGACACCCTCTTTAGCCACTGACAAACACATGGCCTCTTTCACACTTTTCTCACACACAACGGAAGCTATTTTGTGTTATGGTCATGTGATTGTTTACGTATTCATCAGTGCTGCATGTTCTAGACTGATTGGTTCTTGTCCTGTCAGTCATCAATAATAACATCCTTGATGTTGCTTCTTTGTGGTCGTTCCACAATTTTTCTCCTCTTGTAATTTCTCGATTGTGGTTTGTGGTAATAATGATGTTTACTTTTTCACATTGCGAAACTGCTTTCTATTTGAGCACTTGCAGAAACAAGTCTGTACAAACACACATACTGTAAACGTCAGAAAGTACTTCTTGGCTGAACTGTTTTCATTTATGAGGGCCACATGATAATTCTGTACAATGATAATGCCAATTTACTGTAAACAACCTACAGAATAAACTTCATACAGAATGTTGAACAGAATCTACTTCTTCTAAAAGCCATCCTTTCCCTTTAAATACACAACGCATAGTGGTGTATTTGAGCCTCAATGGATTAACTGTGTTTTATCCCTGCAAATGTATCACTGCAAGAGAGAGAGAGAGAGAAGGAGAGGAAATCAAAGAATTTAATATAAACAGAATATGAAATGATCATTGAATCTACAAGGCACATTGAAAATTCTGTACTTTATACAGACTTTTTAAAATAATATACTGTAAAAAGGGAGTAGTTACTGTATATATAAAAGTCAACCTGTTGAAAACTTGGAACTGTTGAAGGAATATAGTTTACCCTAAAATTCTGTCACCAATATACATCATACCTGTTAACACTGAGGTGTGAAAAAAAGGGATACTTGTTGAATCTGATTAAAGAACAAATCTCTTGTTTTGAATTTTCATTTGATTACATTAAATACCATAAGTGTCACTTTAATAATGCAAAGATTTATAATAAAAACATTTAATTGCTTTCCTAATCCTTTATGTTCATTTAAGACAAAAATGTTTTTCTTAAAATAAAACAAAAAAAAAGGTCAAAATTAAGGAGCAAGGGGTATCTCCTGGTGTATCATCAGTACTATGCGAATTTGCGTATGAGCGGGCGCAGCCATTTAAATCTTTTTGGTGCAAGACTTCCGGTCTCATTCGTTTCCATACATTTTTAAGCATTAAAATAGCTCATTCTGCTGCTTGATGTTGCAAACTATTATTTTCCTATTATATTGTTCTGCTTTGTCTGTATAATCATGCAACACTTGTTTGTAGAGCAAGT